AAACCGAAATCCATCGTCACTAAAAAGTAAGTGGACAGGATTTTTAAATCAATCGAGATTACGTGATACATACCCGTTAAGCATGAACAAGAACTTGTTCAGTAGACTCTAGATGATTCGAAATTTCAAGGGAAATTAGAGAGGCTCCAGTTATGGAAAGTCGGGTGCATAATAATCGGAATTGAAGTGAAAACGTGTTCACACCGTTTCCTGCTCTGTACATTTTCCTGGAATAGCAATAGAGAATCTCACCGAGACACCGATCAATTAAAGAGAATTTTGAGAATTAAATTTTTTCAACAGAACACCTTTCATTATAATCAGTTAATTTGGAGCAACCAGCTGGCTTACAACCCCTATCAAGGCACAACTGGATTTGACGACGAAGAGACCATGTTACCATCTTACTGGGAAACAAAGTTCTCCAGGATCTGTCTGGGTATGAAGAACGGCGGAGAAACCAACTTCATCGCCGTCAATGTGACAGCATCCTCCCTATACTCTCTAATCGCTGATGGGAAATACCGCCCAACCTCACTGGGCCGAGACAAAGGGAAGTCGCTGCTTCGTTCAAGAGCCTCACTGCAATATAACTGTAACCGAGAGGGATTTAACACATTGTGTGGGTGGTCTGGTGCCTTTCAACCCAGGGCTCGAATCGGTATCCTTAGTAACGAACAAAATAACTGTCACTCCTGTGATTCCAGGATCGGCTTTGGTACTGGAGGCCATCCTGATTTCTCGAACTCATGTGGAAACGTGGCAAAGCACAGAGCAGATAGTGGAGATAAAAACATCAAGACTATGGGCTACATTCTTGTACAATAATGTAGCAGTAAAGGTCCCTATTTAGTTCCAAAAGGAGCGAAAAGTTTTTCATAAGTAGAGCTTAAGAGAGACTGTGAATCTCAAGTAATGTCTTAGGGTAAATTCATTAACAAATTTTTTTGCCTTGAATGGAGGCTTTTGTTCTTATCATCGATCCTTGCAATTTTTGTCGTGATGTGTAAAACAAACGTTTGTAAAGTCTGCCATTAAAGCCGTTAACAAATTGGAATTTTGCCTTTTTCAGCTATGTTTGGCACGATGTTGTGACGTTCTTGAAGGAAATGTTGAGGGATGATTGTCATTTTGCAGGACGTAAATTGTAAAAGTTGGGTAAAACCATTTGGAGAACATCACCAGCTATATCCCTTCAAATATTTCCATCCACACTATGTCTTAATGCGTCACGTGACCTAATTGCCCAAGTTATACTGAGAAATATCCGGTGTTGTTGTTGTATAAATGGAATAGTGTGTCGGTCCACCTTTGTAAAGTTAGAATAAACTTCTTTACATTTTAAATACTTGTTTGTAGTCTCTCAATATGTTACAATATGCCCACTTGACAATATCCAGGTTTTTTGTTGATGCGTTTCTCCCAAGGCTCGCTTACCAGCCGCTGTTCTCTTCTCAGGAGGAA